AAATAAGAACCTAAGCCTTCTACTAGTTTGGACAGACTAAGCTCTATTTCATAGATTGGACTCTTTTACTGTGATTCGCCCCTACTAGTAAGAAGCTGTTCGTTCCCTGGATCCACGTGTTCCTAGTCGGGCCTAAATGGATGAATGAAGAAGCGCGCCCGGGTAGACTTCAAGAGCTCTTTCTCTGCGTATCCTCCTACTTCTTATTCTGGGGGTCATAGAAAGATACGAACCGCCTACTCTTTCAAGCCCTACCATTAGATTGAATAAAATGAAAGCTGCTTGCCCTCAGTAATAAAAAACAACAATCCCTCCCCTTCTGTTACCTACTTTTACTCATATCTTTGCGGTATACCTCATTACAAGACAAGCACAGGAAAGGATATTCAATCAAAACCGGGCTATCACCCTATCTAAGCAGGTTTCCCCTCTCCTCTACGGAAATCATATTTTAATCTATTTAAGTTCCTGTGTCTATCGCTATCGTCCTATTTTCTCTCAATTGCCTATCCTTTATAGATGAGGGGGAGTACCTTAGCAGTAGCTTCCAACAACTTAAGATTGACCTCCTCAAGTGCCAGATATGAATGTTTTATTAATTTCATACGGGACTACTTACTTACCTAAAGTGAACTTTTGGCTTACCTAAAAAGTGGACTGAAGGAACTGACCTAAGCATAGCTCTCTCAAATAAAAATGCCTTTCATTTCTCTTTTAAGACCTTTGTCCTACTTCTAGTCTCAGTCCTCTAGCCTATCGAAAGTCATCTTTTTATTAACATTAACCAACAACACATGCACTTTGTTGGCACTAAAAAAAAGGTTATTCAATCCACTAGTGCAACTGAAGGAATTACCTCTTCTGAACCGGAATAAGAAAGAGCTCATAACCACTACTTGTGAACAACTCTCCTCAACTGAAGGCGCACCTACTGTTACTAGAAGTCTAGTCTCTCTCAGGTCCAGTTTCGATCTCGAGCTACAACATAGGCGGGAAAAGAGATATTCAGAAAAGCCGATTTCCTATCCTGTCTTAAGAACCTGACTCAAAAGAGAAAAGAAGACCGGACTAAAAGAGATCTCACTTTCGACGATTGAACTCCACTTTCATATCAGGCTTGCACTGGAATTCACTTTCAGGAATCCTTACTCCTGGCTCATATTCACATAGGCCACTCATAAGAATCAGACGTTCAACTCCCTCAAACATGTGTAATTGAGAGAGTCAGAATATCAGTGCCTTGGGTAAATGTCTACCTTCGGGAGAATCTTACCGAACGACTTTAAAACCTGTCCTCTTCGCTTCCCAAGAGATTGGATTTAGGTAAAAGGGCCTTGTCGGCCACCGCTTTTATTTTCATTCATTTTTCCTATTAAAAAAAAAAAGAAAAGACCCCCGCTCGAACTAACTTTCAACGCTCGAACTCCAGAACGAAACTCAAGTCATTGCTCATTCCCGCTCATGCTTGCTATAACAATTCCCTTGCCTACTAGACTTGTCTAAGAAAAGATGCACGAGCCACTCTTTCTCTTATATACGGTATTTTAAGATAGTGATTTGAATGCCTATCCCCTGCCTATGCTAAGCCTTTACTACCTACCCCTACCTGTCCGCCTTGAACTACTGCGTCTGCGCATACCTTTTCTTGCTCCATCCAGAAGGTAGCTTGAACTGGCATTGTACAGATAGATAGCCAGTAGAAAGAACTATTCCCAAGCTGGAGAGGTGGGAGAGGAGAGAAATTGAAGTGGATCTCCTATCTATATTCGACAGCTTGAAGAGGGCGGATTTAGAAAGCAAAATTTTCATTGAAAGCGATTGTGCCTACCACAGTCAAGTTCGGTATTTACTAGCAAGGAAAAGGGTAGGATCTACCAAGACGGGTGGCATGTGAACCGCTTTGGAGTGAATCGGTTAAGAACCGCAGATGGCACATCGAATCCCCGCAGCCACTTTGCTGAGTTGATAGATAGATAGATGAACTAGCCCGAGGACCAAAGGAGAGTACTTCTTTTGCCATTGGAAGCTGTTGTCAGTAGGCATTCTTTGCGCCAGAAAGAGAGATTGTATTGTAGCTTAACTTCTTAAACAAAGCCGGCTCCAGTTCTATTCCGAATAGGGCAAGAAAGCGACTTGCCGCCTCAGTCACGAAGGAATACCGAAGAGCCTAAAGAGGGTGTTAGAATGCAGCTAGATAGAGAACTATAAGATAAGAGGGATTCCATGGGTGAGAAGGCTGACATGAAGGCTCTCATTCCAAACTGGTAAAGCGCAAGGGGCAAGCAGTTGACTCTTTCACTCGGACTCACTAGCAACTCCAGGAGCGACCCCTCATCATCTTACGATGAAAAGCAGGTTTATTCCGTGGCAAACCACAACGAGTAAGCGAGATAGGGTGAGGTAAAGCCTCAGACCGGTCAAAGGAGCCTCCGTAAAACCTCATCAGACAGGTAGCGGAAGCTGATAGAAAGGGGCGATGAGCTCAGTAGAGGAGAAGCCGTCCTGATGAAATAGAAAGCCCTAGCTATGAGTGACTCAAATCTAGCCGTGATGCGCGAGGGCCAATATTCAAATGAAAGCAAGGGGCTGATTGCCCTCATGGGGAAGGGATGAATACGAGCAGTCGGAAGAGCAGCTCTCTCAGAAGCAACCAATCCAAGAATTGATGGATTTGGTAGAGTGCCAGTCACAACACCAGAACCAAGTTAGGTGAGCTTGAAGGCATCGGTTGAAGCCCTTAGTTGCAAGGTCTTTGACTGTGCCCAAGAAAGGGATGGATAATAGATCTTAGATAGTTCCCACTTCCACTTAACAAAGGAAAGATATCACACACTACACAAGACAATCATGTGCAAGCTGCTTGAGTTGAATCAGCCTCAATTCCTCTCTCACTCACGATGAAAGCTAAGAGCTTGCTCGAAGACAGCCTTTACTTTATAGTTATAATCTATCCTATCCTATCCTTTAGGCGGGGATAGGTTCATAGGAGGACTTGGTTACATAGGAAGGAAAGGCTTAAACTAGAAGGGATAAGAAAAGGAATTTGTGCAACACTATGATTGGTCAAACTTCAGCTATAAGACTTTATTATTATAGAAATGGGTTTTTGATTTGGATACTGGAACATTATGTAACAACCCGAAGTTTTCCATCGTCGAAAACTTGTTCTACCCGTAAGATTTCGCCGTTAGTCGACCCGTTTTGTTCTCGCTTCGGGTTAATTAACTAAATTTATACATTTATTATAATTTAATGAGTGTTCAAATCCCTTGAAACTCATAAAATTAACCCAAAAGTATTCATTTCAAAAAGTTAGAAACATTCCCGCCGGGTGACGGTAACTTAATCGGGTGCGACCTAAAGCCCCGTTTAATGCCGGTATCGGGTAGAATTCCACCGCGTCCAAGTTTTGGGAACTATATAAACGTGTTAAACCTTTCATTTGAAGCTTTTTCCTTCTCTCTCTACTCTCTCTCTAACCTCTCTCCTAAATCCAAGTTTAAAGGTCCAAATCATCAATTTTAAGCTCCAAATCTTTGAGGTGCTTCCCATAGCTTGTTATGTAACATTCCTAGCCTTCAAATTCGAGTTCAAAGCATGAAATATGACCATAATCATGAGTTTAAGGCCATGGAACCATCCTAGGCCGTAAACTCATATATCATGGGTTTTGGAGCTCAAAAACCCTTCCTAAGCACAATTGGACCTTAGATATGGCTAGATGGCTTTATGAATTGGACTTATAACATTTTAAACTTGGATTTTGAGTCATTTGAAGGAGTTTACAGCCAAGGATCATTCTTGGGCCGTAAACTCATTAAACTAGGGGTTTCATGCCCTTAAACCCTTCCAAATCACTCATATGCCTTAGTTATGAATTATAGAACATAGATCTTTGCATTTGGACACTTGAAACATGATTTTTGGGAGACTTACATGAGTTTACAGCCAAGGCTTGTTTTTGGGCCGTAAACTCCATGAAACATGGTGCAAATCCATTTCT